GGAGGAGATGGGGAATGCAGATAAACACGGACGTTGCCAACCAGGTACCCAGGGGTGACGAAAACTGCATCACCGGGCGGGAACGGTAGTTTCCAATCCCTTTCATTTACTCTACTATCTATGCCTATTCCATTGATGTTAGCAAGATATGCAAGAGTAGATAATCCTACACTTTCTGATGCATATTGGTGTACTTATACTATTTAGAAAGTTTGAACTGAAATTTTTGAGTTATGACCATTTTTTAAAATGAGCCAAATTCTCAAAATATCCTGTTACTGAATATAATACTCATTAAATGCTATAAATCAAAACCATTGCTAAATACAGTAAAAAGAGCCAGTATATTCTATTTTTACTATATGAAATTGTTAAAAATTAACTTCTTCATAAGCCACTTGTTGCTGTATGTGCAGTTCTTTCTCTCACCTTACTACAAGGTGGTTGAGATGAGGTAGCCCCTGTAATAATAATAAATAATTTACAAGTATTACCATTATCTTACTATTCTTGTTCTTTTTATACACAACATACACCAACATAGTGACACATACTGCTACTATTATTAATACACCAATAGTCAGTGATATTATTATGATAACTACAAAAATATAAATAATAATAATAATAATATTGTGTATTATATAACTAACCAGTACTAGATGAAGTTGTACCTGGTGTGCTAGTAAGTGATGGAGTATTAGTAGGAGATGGTGTATTACTGATAGGCAGAGGAGTAGTGTCTGTATAATAATGTGATGAATAATACATGTACATTAACATTATACTGAATACTAGTAGTATACTGAATACTTACCAAATGCTAGTATAAATGGTTCACTACTACCAGCCTCATTACTAAATACAATACTGATATTACACTGTTGGTTTAGTGGTACTGGTACTGATCCTGTTATATTCATTGGTTGATTAGCATATTCCACTAGTGTAGTATCAGTATATACAACACCAGTTCCATTACACTGTATAACAACACTAATATTCCCAGGGGCTTCACCAGTACATTCCAATGTAACCTGTTATTAAAAATAATGATTAACAGAAGTACATACAAAAAATATTACTGGTATATTAAAGGAAGCAGTAGCACTAGTCTCATTAAATGATATTATATCTGAACCACCTTCTCTAACTGATCTTGGTACTAAATAAATATAAAATCATTTATTCAGTAATTATTGTTTATTGTACCTCTTTGATATGAGAATGTATCATTATTAGATATTCCTTCTCCTAATTCATTAACTCCAGTTATAACATATGTATAACGATGAATAAATAAATTATTATTCACAAACTGATAACTGGTACCATATACTGATACAGTATCCACTAGACTACCAGTAATAGCATCATATATTCTTAGTATGTAATACAGTATAGATACTCTATCATCAACTGTAGGAGCAGTCCATGTTATATCAATAGTAGAACAGTTGTCAATTGAAGAGTCAATGTTAGTAACTGGTCCAAGGAAACCTAACAAAGAGAAGAAGGATTAAATCAAAAAATATACAATGTAATAGTTAATTATTACCAAATCCAAAAGAAGGTGTAGGTAGATATTCTCCTCCATTATTACTCAGTGATACATTAACAATAAATGTATTTAAATTATTAGGTACAGTTATTACTCCAGTAATCATCAGTTGATCATTAACTTGTGTTGATATACTGGCACTATCTTGTATCTCATTATTAATATTCAGTATATTAACTGTTATATTGTTAGGATGTTCACCAAAGCATAACTCACTGACCTATAAATAGAACAGATAAAAATAGTATTATGTCTATAAATAGAATAACATTCGCTATGCATGCATTTCTCATTGTGTGATGAGCTTGCAATGAATATACTTACATCAATACTGATATTCATTGATATTAGTTGTCCATCAATTACTGGTACCACTGATACAGGAGGAGTAATAAGAGGAACTGAAAGATACACTGTGAACATATACATGAAGCCATAGTAGGACTAACCTCTTTCATAATAAAAACTGATATTATTAGATGAACCTATTCCAACATCATTAATAGGAGAAACTGATACATTATTTAATATACAAGGATCAGGATTAGTAGCTGATAATATAATACTCTTGTTAGTAGTAGTAATATTCACTAATCCATTGACTATATAGTATCCAGTGATAGGTACATTATCCAGTGTATAAGGAGCTGTCCATGTTAATAATACACTGGATCCATTAATAAAGGTATAATCCAGATCAACAACACTATCCAATAGACCTGGAGGAGAAATGATAAATAATGTCACAGTCACACAGTGCTAACCTTGTATCATTAGTATTGCTGTATCACTGAACATTATTTCAGGAGGATCATCAGTACTAGCTCTACACCTCACTTCAGTATTATTATTATATTCATAAGCTATTGCTTGTAGCTCTGCTCTTCTAGTACCACCATTATTACTTGTTGTTACACTGAATCCTTTATCCGTAACATTTGTGTCAGTAGCTGATACATTATTGACTCTGAAACTAAGATCATCAGCAATAACTTCACAAGAGAAGACAACAGTAGAGTTGAGTGTTGTATTAATAGACACTGGCTGTACTGTTATATCTATAATGACACTGAATAAAATGAATAAAACAGATACAATCTACTTACTAGCACAATATACATATTGCTGCAGCAAAAGAAAGAAAATTAAATACAGCATCTTGTTTTTTAAAAAGCCTATGCCAAGGGAGTAGCTTTTGAGCTTGACTCTCTATTGAGGTAGACTGAGCTAGCAATTGCAGTCCAACATTGCAATTGTTGGCCTCGCCTACGCGAGGTATAGGTAGTTGTTGTGTCTGTCTGTCTGTCATTCATTCTGTACAACTGAAATTTGTTTTTAATAAACAATAACTTTAGCACAGCATGTTTCAAGCTCCTAGATCTTTCTTTTTGGCGTGGAAAAGTCTTTCTTAACTGTTTTGTATTGCTCAAATACAAGTGCTAGGTATAGAAGCTTCAAAGTAAGAAAATCGAGCAGTTGGGCCAAGTTCCGTTGTGTTGGCACTTTAGAGATAGATGGTAGCATTTTTCAGTAGATTAGAACATGGCCTTCAAATAATATGAACAGATTTCTCTAAATCTTACTTGATGAAGAGTTATACTTACTTGAATTTGTTGAGGTCACTCGTTTGTGCAGCGCTAGAGCAACAACTTGCTGGGTTATAGGTACTAAAGTACCTATACTATCTCAAATATACAAAGGCAGCAACTTTTTTGTCAGCAAGTTTATCATATATTGCTGATTAGTAAAGAAAAAGTGAAGCTTCTTTCTCACATGGTCTTCTTGCTGCCACTCATGAAATGCCACACCTTTCAATCTACATGCATGGGAGGGGCTGGAGCTGCTTGCATGTATGTGCTGCAGTGCTGCTACTTCTGCAGGTATTCAAGAGCAAGTGCAACTGCAGGAAGCTAGTGTTGAGCAGACTCTCTTCATGCTG